TGAAATATTTCATTTTTTCTGAAAAGGTGGTATCTATTTACTTGTGACCACGCTGTGTAGCTCATTGTTTAGCTTTGTGCTTAACTTCAAACAATAGACTCCATAATATGGTCTCCTCATAACACCGTTACTACAGCATTGTTTCTTGAAAGATAACTTGGACACCAGAGCACGAATCGTACTAGAATGTATTGTGAAATAACCATAACAGTATAGAATGTGTCAAAGCCAAATTCCTACGCATTTCCACTGATTTTTTTCCCTATTGGTTTGAAACATAAGAGTACTAAAATAACTGCATTATGAAAACGACTTGATGAATTACCTTGCGCCAATTGTTTGAAATGTTGAAAGTGCCATTTTACGTTGAAAGGGGGAATGAAGGACGGCACTTTTTGTCTATCGCATAAACAAGAAGAGAAATGGAGATATTACCTGTTACAGTAACAGCTGTAACGCATTCTAATAAATACATATTATACTACTGCATGTACAGCACATGAAAATGTTCGATATGATTAAAAAAGACTGCTCAGAAAACGACTCGAACGAACCTCAGTAATCACATCACTTAAATGACAGTAAACTGCCCAATAAAGCCAGACACCTTTAAACGTCAGCGTGTCCTCACTGTAAATCCGGAGATTTATGGCTCATGACCCGTTGCCACACAAACGCTAGAGGTGCGTTATAAGAGTGACGGTCAAATCCCACTACTTTATCAGACAGGAGTAGCTCAAACGTTGTCAGCGGGTGCTGCTTTAATCCATCAGTTCAAAATTAGGGATGGCTATATACAGATAGCCCTTGTCTGGTTTTGCTCGAAAATATTCCAAAACAGCAGACACATTGTGGAATCGAAATTAACTTGATGTGTTTCTAGTAATTTCATAATTAAATAGCCAGTGTCTGTGGCTAGAACGTGAATGAAGTACATTGTCAAACGTTAAAACCTAAATCTAGATAGGATTGTTTGTTTGTTTGTTTTGAATTTCTCGCAAAGCTACACGAGGGCTATCTGCTCTAGCCGTCCCTAATTTAGCAGTGTAAGACTAGAGGGAAGGCAGCTAGTCATCACCACCCACCGCCAACTCTTGGGCTACTCTTTTACCAACGAATAGTGGGATTGACCGTCACATTATAACGCCCTCACGGCTGAAAGGGCGAGCATGTTTGGTGGGACGGGGATTCGAAGCCGCGACCCTCAGATTGCGAGTCGAGCGCCCTAACCACCTGGCCATGCCGGGCCCTAGATAGGATATAAAAATACTTGCCTCTCTCACCTCTTCTTTCTTCCGTTTCGTATATATATGTATATACTGTTTTTATCCCGTATGGCTAAATACACTCTATTGATAAACAAAAGCTTATTGGCCACAACAGACGAAATATAATTTTCACAGCCACATTATTGGTCAACAGTTATGATTTTTTAACATAGTGTAGGAATGATGCAAGATAATTTATTGAAATATCAGATTTACACGCTCATTCACTTGGAAACAAAAAGAGAGTGATTTAATTTCCTTTACAATTTCAAGATTAAGTTAAATATAAAAAGAGTAAAATACATTTAAACGACTTTATAGAATCAAATATCGCATGACGTGCGATTAAAAAAATACTGTCATTATTTAAAATAGGAATATTTCATCGATTAAAATAGACGGTTCAACCAATATTTAGAAAACAAGATACAACCCAGTTTATAAAACTCCTGGCGTAAACAAAATCAAACTTCTGAATATCTCAGCTAGTGAAAAATGTAGGTCATAATATGCGATCTTTCATCGGTTCTATCTTCAGAAATTTGGATCTGTTTTTGTTTTTTTCTTCTCGAAAACTATCAGCACGAGCACCTTGTTATATCGATTAAATCCGATAAATCTATTATCATTAGTAAATTTCTTACCATAGGGCTATTTCTATTCCCAGGGCCCATATGACCATACTTTGATAATGGTTTTCCAACAATGAATCCAATGATATATGATATGTGTAGTCTTTCTTCAATAAAACACACAAGTCTATAAAATACTATTTTTGTAATATTTCGTAAAATTTCCCATTTTCATCTGGTTCCTGAGAATAAAAAATGTCTAATCATAAGAGAATTAAACTGTGATAAAAGCAAAGTACTTGTATATATCAGAATTAAAAATTAGCTCATTAAAAAATATAGCTAACTTAATAAGCTGGTATAGCCATGGGTATGCAGTGTCTTAAACAAAAACTCATAATGATCAAAATGCATTGATTCGTCAGTTGGATTCCTATCCTATGAACCATATTTTTGGCCATAATTCCAATAATATGAAATGAATTTCGGTCAGCTTAAGAGGTCTAAGTTAGCCCTAAATTCATATACTCAACTAACAATCTTCGTTAGTCCTTACACAATATATATATATATATATATATATAATACAAATAAATTATAACCGAGACTGATATGAAAGTAACAACTAAAAAAAAGAATAAAATATAACTGCCTTAAAAATAAAGATAAAACTGGCTATTTCCTTCATGAAAGTGCATACACAATGTTCTAGCTCTAGGGATTGGAGTGTTTCTTATGTTTGCTAATATAAAATACAATATGTTTCTCTGTTATGTTATGACTAGTTAAGTTTTCCTGTGTCATGCTGTTGTGCAGTATGTAGTGTGACACACAAGTTACCTTCGTTGGATTTCATATCTGAATATAATGCCATACACTTATGAATATAAGCCCCCCAGTAGCACAGCGGTGTGTCTGCGGACTTACAACGCTAGAATCCGGGTTTCGATACCCGTGGTGGGCAGAGCACAGATAGCCCATTGTGTAGCTTTGTGCTCAATTACAAACAAATAAAACTTATGAATATTTAAGTTTGATCCAACTGAAAATATT